CTGACTCCTGAGTGCTGGGATTAAAGGTGTGCGCCACCACCACCCAGCTTGTGCATGCTTATCATGGGCAAAGTTTTCATGTGACATCTCTCTGACACGCAGGGGATTCCTTAACTTGTCATTTTAAACACAATTTCGAGCAACTCAAATTATAAACATATGAAGAAAGAAGGGAAGTGGACTTTCATTAAATATACATTTCTTCAAACTAAATGGTTACATTGCAGAATAACACACCCATGATGAAATATAGCACAACCCAGGAAAGTCAGGCCAGAAGAAAAGTTTGACTTAAACAATTCTCATGTCACAATACCAAATGAAATAGGGAATAAAAGATACTTATATAGGAGTTAGCAAAGACTCTCAGTAGTAGACCACTTGCCTGACATGTAGAAGGGCCTGGATTCCATCCCCAGAATGGGGTGGGATAGGGGTTTCCAGGAAAGATCTCAAAAGGCTCTATTCTAAATGCAGAGTTAATTCTGGTTAGCAGGAGATTCTGTCCTTTACTGGTGCTAAGGAAGCATGTAATTTTTAATTTTATTTTATGTGTATGGATATTTTGCTGGTGCCTGCAGAGGTCAGAAGTGGGACCTGGATCCCCTGGAACTGCAGTTACAGGCAGTTGTTGGCAGATGTGTGGATGCTGGGAATCAAATGTGGGTCCTCTGGAAAAGCAGCCAGTACTTTTAATTCTGAGCCATCCCTCTAGTCCCTAGTAGCATTTTTGTCCATCCGTCCTTCCATCCATCTGTCTGCCTGCCTGCCTGCCTACTTTGTGGTGCTGGGGACTGAACTCAGGTGTCAGGCATGCCAGCTGGGAAAGCACTTTTATTGCTGAGCTATGTCCCTCCCTGTTGTAACAAAATAATCATTGTTTTAAAAGCTTAGTTTCTTTTCACCAACCATTTCCATTTTGGAGTTTTTCTTCCCACTTTTAGTGTAGAAAAGGATGGCTATACTGATCTCTGCACTGGCAACTGTGAGGTGGCCCTAAGTGGAGGGCACTTGCGCCCAGAAGCTCTCAAGTACCCTCTGGACTGCCATGTGCAGCCTACCACCACAGTCATAAAGGTGCCAGATCTTTCCCAGTCTCAGCCACAGTAAGCAGGTGAAGAGGACCAGCACAGGGTTGGCCTGGAGTGACTGGGGTCATCCCTTCCCTCAGAAATATGGGAGGCCATTTGTCTTCTTTACCAGCTCTCTTCCCCTACCCACTTATCCGTTGCCATCCATCATGACCTTTTCATGCTCCCACACTGACAGCTTCCAGATACAGTGAGTCAAACTTCACTGGAAGCAAACTATCACGCCAACTGTCAAAGGCAGAAAACATTGCCTGATTGCTGTCCTACATCAACACCAGCATATAAATCCTTCCTTAACAAGACAGCTCAAAATAAACAAAGCACAACTCTAATGCAGCTACAATTCTCCAGGGAAACAATTTGTCCAAGGTTTAGAGTTATCACGAGGGGACCCTGGTCTGTTCCAACTAACTAAAATATTTCCATAAAAGGAAATTAGCATTGTATATTATCATCCAGAGGATGAGGCAGCAGAGGGCCCCCTTTGGGTAGCCCCTGCCCTAGGTCCTTCTGTATATGTCAGTTCATCAAGCACCTGTATCTCTGAAGGTAGCAAAAGCCTGTCTATACTTAAAGGCAGCAGTGCTAAGTGGTCAGAGCCAGGATCTCTGGATGAAGAAAGTCCTAAGTTCAAACTTCAGCATGACTTCCTCAAGCTTTGACTCTGGACAAACTGGGAAAGGATGTACAAGATGCTAACTCATATCTTTGGGGCTTGTGAGAACTGCATTAGTTACTTTTTATTGTTCTGATAAAGACCATGACTAACTAAAAGCAATTTAGGGAGGAAAGGGTTTACTTGGCTTGCAGTCCATCGTTGTAGGAAGCCAAATCAGGAACTCAAACAGGGGAGGAACCTGGAGGCAGGAACTGAAGCAGAGACCCAGGAGGGGTGCTGCTTACTAGCCTGCTCCTCCTGGCTTGCCCAGTTTGCTTTCTTATAGAATGCTGGACCAGCTGCTGAGGGATGGCATCTACCATGGTGGTCTGGACCCTCCCACACCGATTGTAATCAAGAAAATGCCCCATAGACTTGCCTACAGACCAATCTGATAGAGATATTTTCTCAATTGAGGTTCTTCTTCCCAAATGACTCTAACTAAGCAACCCAAGGCACCAAGGCTATAGGCTCCTGTTGTGTTTAATGACTAATAGTGTAGGGAGTGAGGCATGGGCTGTGATGGGGCCAGGACTAGGCAGTCAGGGAGCCAAGGAAGGATATGAACAAGTATGTGCTTGGCCCTAGGGCTGGATACCTTCAACCTGCTTTGTGTTAGTCTTCAAAGCACAAAAATGAAGCATACCTGTCCAGCTACGTGTTCCAGTATGTCTGTCACCATGGATCCTTTCAATAACCTCCATCACCAAGTTTCATGGCACAAACCTTCCTGTAACTTCTAAAACTTCCATTCTGAGTTGGAAGAGATTTCTTTGACCTGGATGGAGGGTTAGGGCACTCAAGCTAGGGAATGACCACCTACACAATATCCAGGTTATTCATTTAGAGCAAGATTTGGGGGGGGGGTACATTCCCATTGGTGTTCTCCTCCTGTAAAAAGGGGTAACAGAAATGTCAACCCCTGGGTGTTAAGGGGGATGGAACAATATGGCACATCAGATGCTCATCTTGCATTGCAGGAGGAAATTTAAGTCACTATTACAACTCTTAAAGATAAACCAAGACTCAGAGGGAGAACCAGTTTTCTTTAACTGGGTGGCACCTGCTATATCAATAATACTCTAGGGAAGGCTCCATGCCCAGGAGGAGTTGGCCAACACAAACTGGACTCAATGGGTTTGAGAGAGAGACAGAGAGCCAGAGACAGAAAACTCAAGAGAGCAAACATGAAGCTGGGTGGGAAGAGGGGTGAGGGAGGATGTGGAAGGATTTAGAGGGGGGAATGAATATGATCAAAATACATGGTGCATAATTCTTAAAGAATTAAGAAAACCATTATGTGTGTATGTAATATATATATATATATACATATCAAAATACGTATATATACAAACATTTATACACACACACACACACACATATCAATATAAAAAAAAAAAAAAGATGAACTCCAGAAAGGTCAAAAGTTAGTAAACTGTAAAACTGGGATTAAGATCATCCCAGGAAGCTGTTTGCCATTGTCTCTGAGGACACACACCAAAATAGGCACACCTAAATACCACCTCTGGGGAGAGCAGACATCACCTTGGCAACACTGTAGCATTTGCCACTCCATACTCAGTGGTTATTTCGAGTTGCTGGTTATTGGCTTGTACAGGAGTAGGATTTATGCATCAATTTTCTACAACTTTGAATCTGAGACTTCAAAACCCACTGTTGTCAAATCCTGGAGCAGTTGTGATACAGTTCCACAATCCTCTTGTCTTTAGGTTACACATAGCCAGGGAGCCCAAGCCCAGAAAAGCCCTCGGGGAGTGCCAATGAACAACTCTTGACCAGAGTGGATTTTGCTGAATATATAGCATCATGGAACAGTCAGAGAAGTCTTTGAGACTTGCCTGAATTTACACACAGGATCAGACATGTAGGCTGTTTGGGCTTAATGAGACCTCAGAGATCACCCAGTCTGCCAGTTTGGGGATTTTATTCTCCACAGGAGGACGCCAAGGCTCAGGGCTAGGGACATGACTTGTCTGATGTCACCCATTAATGACAGAGCTGTAATCATAATTCATCTCTCTGGACCAGCATCCTGCCACACACTGGTGGAATACAACACAGTATAAAAAGCAACAATATGCTAGGCACTCAAAACAGGAGAAGATCATTTGGAGCCAAGAGCTGATAGCTCCAGTGTGTGGTCAGTAACACATCTGGCGACAGGCTGAGTGGCCAAATAGACTGTTGTCCTGAGCATAAAAACTAACAGGTGGCTCCAGCCAGCACAACAACATTTAGCACAGGGCTGAGCACCAGAGAGGGGTCATTGCAGGGTACCTGAGGTTGTGTATGCTCTTCAGGGCTCAGGGGAGCCTTCGAAGTCAGCTGGGAAGGTAGGACTGACAATTTTCAGGACTGTTTTGCACACTGCTGGGGGATGGAGGGGATCTGATCCTCCTAGGGACAGGCCCCTTCCCTACTAGAATTTGAATGGTAAGGACAGGGAGCTATCAAGGGCAGTCTCAGAGTAAATTCTCAGGAATACTACTCAGGAATCCAGCTCCTTCTACTGAGATGATTCTGGTCAATCTCCCCCCCACCCCCCTACCCCCACTCAATTCCTTCTCAGACACCCAAGCAACCTGACACTGCTGTGAGTAACCCCGGTTCCTAAACAGAAATTCTCCAAAGGGAGAAGATAAGCAGCTAGCAAATCCTAACATCTGCTGTCACCAGAATCCTCCCTCAACAAGGCACTGTCTTAATAAGCTCTAGTGTACACTATTTCCCAGAGGCCATCATCATAGTTCTGTCCTGTTATCATCAGTTTTAAACTCAACACTGGATCTTGTCTGTCACAATCAAGAGGTTAATCACCGAGCAGCACAACTGTCACTGTTGAATTAAGTGACCCCAAGGATGTGAGTCAGGTAAGGTATATGTCCCCCTGTGGTCACTCTAGTGACCTCAAATAGTGAATAGTATCCCTTTACCATCAGCAAAGGGTCAGGAACGTGCAGGGTCAGTTACCTCTTGAGCACGTGAATTCTTCAGTCCACAGGGACCAGGCTAAAAACTGTAAGAAAGAAATATCTCCAGAATTACCACCACCACATGGGCTGAGGAGGAACAAAGCTCTGGCTGAAGCCATCCTCTCTCACTGGCTGGTCTTGCATTGTTAACATGTATCTTAAATGTGCCTACTGCATACTTAAAAACATTGGAGTAAAGTTTCCTTTGAGTTCTTGCTTGTGGTTTCTTTCTCTCTTTTGTAACTTAATTTCTTAATTGATAAACAGTGGTTAGATGCCATGAAGTAGGTGGCAATACCTTAACCACATGCATGTTGTTAGGCCCAAGGGCCTCTTCCATCCTTGTTTAGGGAAATGGTAACCTCCTCTCCTTTCATACAACATTTGCTTGTAGCTTCTAATTAGAAGATGAAATGACAGTTGAGTTGATTAACAGATCTTTTTGGTGATGTGGGAAGGGTCTACAATGACAGATGACAAAGGAGGCAAGTTAGCACAAGTGACATAGCTATCACATGATGTCCTGGTCTGAGACTGTTGAGAAAATCAAACTGAATTCTGTATTTTCTAAATACAGTAAATATGAGACTTTGAGGACAGCCTGGGCTACTCAGCAAGAGTCTGCCACACCCCCTGAGCTAGTAGGTATAGTGTGAGGCCAAGGACAGAGTTACAAGGTCAGGGTTATTAATTCCATGCTGCATAATGAGCTGTACTATCATGGCAGTATCTTGGTTCCCTGCCTTGTTTCTCATCTTAATTTCTGGTGCCTTTCTCCTGGTACCACAAAACATACTTACTGATAGCATACTATAAGCTTCCTAGATCACCACTGGCACTCAGCCCTTTTGCGACAGAGTTTCTCTTTGTAGACCTGGCTGTCCTGAAACTCACTTTGTAGACCAGGCTGGCTTCAAACTCACAGAGATCCACCTGCCTTTGCCTTCTAAGTGCTGGGATTAAGGCATGCACTACCATGCCTACCTAGCATCTGACCCTTTTAATTTCAGTATCTACAAGTCTACTTGCCCCTACCAGATCTGGTATACAGAACCCCACCCACAGGAGGTTAAGTTAATGGAAACAGTCTCCATTTGGTATACGTGCAGGCAAGGTCCATACTTAAGGGCTTCTGAACTTTCAGACTTGCTGGGAGGGGAAGCAGGCAATGAAACATTCTTAGAACACCTTACAAAACCAGTCACAGCTAGGATCAGGTCTGGACAGAGGAAGAGGTGCAGTAGCTGACACTGTCTAATAGGAAGTGGAGGATTAACCACCCACCCCAGAGCCAGGGAGGAGCAGAGGGAAGAGTGTTCACAGGTTGGAATGGTTGATGCATCTGTGATGCTACAGCTAGACTTCGGTGTTTGGCACTGGGCTTCTCTCCAAATCCCCAGAAACCCCACTGTATATCCTGATGACTGAATGGGAAGGAAAGCAAGTTAGAAGCTACATGCTTTCCACATGCTGTATTATCTCGTCACATCCTTCCAGCCTCAGTTTTCTCAGTTGGGAAATGGGGCTACAATGCTGATATACCAAGTAGATTAAATGAGGTAGCTGGAGCTGTCTGTATGCTGTGAACTGTTACTGAACTTGACTACTAGCATAGGGAGGGTTTGCATTCAGGATAAGTTCCCTACACCCAGTTTCCACAGGTAAAGTCTGAGTATGTCAGTTCTGAGTCCAGCTATTAACACACACAGGGTCTGGCTATCAAAAGTGCCAGGTACATACTAAACATAAGCTAAATGATTGGTGCCTCTAACTTATTGATAGTTCACTACAATTGGTCAACATTATTACAGTGCTAAGGCTAGAACTGAGGGGCTCATGCACAGACAAGTGTTCCTCCCTGAGCTGCATTCCCAGCTTACTGTTTTGACGTGTGTGTGTGACACACACACACACATTTGGGTACAGATGTGCATGTGTATGTTCACGTGGTAGCTGGAAGTCAATGCAAGATGCCTTCCTCAATCTCTTTCCCCCTTCGTTTTTGAGACAGGGTCATACTGAACCTGGAGCACACCAGTGCAGCTAGACTGACATAAAAAGTGCCAGGCATCCTCCTATTTCTGCCTCCCTAGCATTGTGATTATATACATACACCACTGTGACCTGGCTTTTACACGGGTGCTGGATATTGAACTTAGGCCCTCATGTTTTGTGTCCACACACTATACAAATAGAGCCATCCCCCATTCTCTCTTAAATTAGGTCTTTGTCATAGGTTTTATTAACAGAATCCACTAGTGTCTCACAGTCATAAATTGGTAGAAAATTGACTTACATTTTAATCTTACAGAGCAAAGCCTGAGTGTCTTTCATCCCTTAGAAGCAAATGGCAGATGGTAACTAGAGAGTGGGCTCCTTCTGTACCATCAGAACACAGGCAGCTGCAGCCTCAGGGCAGAGCCCCAGGTTTCCACCTTCTGCTGTGAGGGCCTTTGTACCATGGATTCCAAGTGGATGATGGCTCTCTGTGGGGTAAGCAAGGATGCTGGGCAAATGCTGCATTACAGGCACCCAGCACAGGGCCATAGGAAATCTCTAATCTGACTGACACAGGATGGGTGGGTGGGTGGGTGGGTGGGAAGACTCTCCATCAGTGTCAGGAGTGATCTGAAGTACCTGGCTAGTCGGGTGAAATAAAATAAATTATTTACTCATCTCAGAATGTAGCTGTTCATGTGAATACTTATAAAGAGAGTGCTGCCTGATGCCCTGAACTCTAGGAAAGAAATTCCTGAATTTCTGTATGCAAGTGTGCTGAGAGAGTTGAGAGGGTTGTCATGTACTTTGTAAGGAGGGAGAGTGTGATAGTGGATACCTGACCTACTTGGGAACAAACTTACTCATCACAAGACACAATACGCATGGCAGTTTATCCTACTGTCATAAAATTCCTTAGGAGTAACCAGAGACGTTTCCACTTTTGATGCTGAAGTTTGAGCTTAGTATCTAAGAGAAACAAACATTCTGACTCTGATGGACCTTTTTTTTTTTTTAAAGACATTCCCCAGAGCCTAGACTGCCCACCAGAGGGCACCCTGTGAGCCATTGCAAGTATCCTAGAGCTGGGATCTCCCCAGCCTCACTTCAGAGAACTACCATTCCGGGAGGGACACTGGCAACACCTGCTTTATCCTTTTCTATCCCACAGGTCTCCACTGTGGCTACAAGTGAGGCTCAGAGAGCCATCTCCAAGTCTGATCAACTCAGTTCAACACCTGCAAGGCCAGGACCAGGAGAGATGGCAAAAGGCATCACAGGCAACAGCAGCCACCACAGCTAGGCTAAGCTACTGTTTAGAATCAGCTTTTGTGGGCCAGATACTCCCATCTGACCCTAGAAGGAAAGCTTTACAACACCCATTTTATAAATGGTAACAACTATGGTGGAGAGGGAAGGTATCACAGCAGTACAAAGGGATGGAACAACTCTGCCCCAGTGCTGACTACAGAGCCCTGCTCCTGCCACCACTGACTCTGCGGCCTTTCTTTCTTGAGATCAATCTGCAGGTGAGAATCAGGTGGACACAGTTTGCCCTTTTGCCTTTGGAGAAGAATGGGAGACAGGCCTGGGCTCTGTGGTCATTTGAGGCACTGTTTCTCACACTGCAGGTGGGCCTGTGGGGCATCCTGTTTTGACCCCTGTTTTGATGGCAGTTAAGCTTTCTAGGATTTCCTAGAAAGAAGCCATTAGAAAAAGCAGACACAAAGGCTGAGGAGGAAGCTAAGCTCATCTGGTTAAGTGGCTTCTGTGCAAGCATGAGTTTGACTCTCTAGAACCCACGTGAAAAGTCCAGGTGTGGCAATGCATGGTTGTATTCCTAGTGTTAGGGAGGTTGAAACAAAAGGATTCCTGGACTGTTGGAGAGCACAGCCAAGTTAGCAAGCTCCAAGTTCAGCAAGAGATCCTGTCTCAAAAATATAAGGTAGAGGGACAGTTGAGGATGGGTTTGTCAGTTGTGGCTACTACAGCCAGCACATCGAATTCAATGATGGTACCAAGATGCCTATCCTGGGCACCTAGAAGTTCAGTGCTACCCAGACCCACTGAACATGTCTGTCTATTCTTCCAAAGGCATTGGAGGTGACTTCTTATAGTCTCCAACTCTTCCTACAGTGCCCAGTGCTGATTGACAAGTGTGTGACCCCAGCATGCATTGCTGAGAACTTTATCATGATATAGACATGGGAGGCAGACTGACCTTTCACGGCCTGCTGCCTCAAAATAATCTCAGGGCATTCTGATGATCAGCATGTGTGGAGGTCAAAAGATGATGTCAGATCCCTTGGAATTGAATTTACAGATGGCTGTGAGCTACCATATGGGTGCTGGGAACCGAACCCAGGTCCTCTAGAAAAGTGTAAGCGATCTTAACCATTGAGCCATTTTCTAGTCCAAAAAAAATTTATGTATAGTACAAGCTCAGTAATTCATAACATGTAATACTCTGCTCAGATCTGAGCTGAGGTGTTCCTGTCACACTGTTGTTATGAAGTGGTGCAGAGGACAGACGATGGGTATTCATAACCATGACATTAGGTGATCCAACATGGAAACCCTCAGATTCATTACATACTGGTTTTTGAATCATGTTTTAGTTGCATACTCAGAAACCTTTTACTATCATCAGATCTTAAATCATTCATTCAGGATGTAAACCCACATCGGCCAAGAACTGAGCTCTAGAAAAATATAGCTTTTCCAGAAACCAACAGGCCTGTCTGGAGCATTTGGGAGGAGTCTGTCTTAGTGATGAGCACAGCAACTATTATAAGGAAACATTTAACTGGGGCTGTCTTATGGTTCAGAAGTTTAGTTTGTTATCATCATGGTGGGAAGCATGGTAGCACATCAGCATACATGGTGCTGGAGAGACAGCTCGACCCGACTTGAGCATCTGAAACCTCAAAGCCAATCCAGCGACACTTCCTCCAGCAAGTTCACATCTCTTAATAATGCCACTCTCTATGGGCCTATGGGGCTACTTTCATTCAAACTACAGGCAGAAGTCAACCCCCATTTTTAGGAAGATAGGGAGAGCCTGAACTTGAGCATGCTGGGCAAATGCTCTACCTGAGTTCATGACAGTTCTAGACAGCTGCCTTCTTCCTGGGCAGTCTTTGCATTTTCTCTCTATGAGGAACATCAGAAACCAACACCCTTAGGGCATACAGAACTCAACAATTTTATGTTCTTAATTTTGTTTTTTGAGACATGGTCTGTCTGAGATCCTGGAACAGGGCAGAACTGAGGCTCAGAGAGACAGAGAGCCTTGCTTAAGGTTACATGGCAGTTACTGAGGGAGCCACAGTTTTAATCCAATTGAGGGTTAGCTGCCCATCTCTTAACTACAAAGCTGAACATTC